ACCACTCCTCACACTCCCTAGCACATGGCAGTTTCTTCTAAACACAAGAGTGTTAGACACAGCAGTGCAGGGATGGACCCAGCTGCCTGAGTTTATTTCCTGATCTGCCATTTGACCTTGAGCCAGTCCTGAATTGTTCTTTGGTCTTGGCTTCAGTTGGATCATTTGTAAATGAGTATAATGATAGCACCTACCTCACAGGGTTACTGTGAGAATTAAATGAGTTAATACATTTACCGTCTTAAACAGTCTATGGCACATAAGTGCACAAGATAGATGAACGATGTTTCCAAAATGTCCAAAAGAAGGAGGCTAGGGCGGAGGGAGTCAGGCCCCAGCAGGGGTAAGGGTCTTTCTCAGAGGGAGCTGCTTTTGCTCTGCCCTACTGACCTATTGCATGTCCCCAGACTGCTTCTCTGGCCCCTGGGCACCCTCAACCCCCTGGTTGTGTTTTTCTTCCTCAACTGATGAAATGGACTCACTGGGCTTCCTGGTGCCTCAGTCGGGACCCCCTAAAAGGCCAGGGGATGTCTGTGCTGGAGAGGAGCGCACTCAGGCTGGCTGGCAGTTGTCATCAACTCTCTGAAGCGCTGTCATGCAGGAAAAGGATTAGACCTGTTCTGGATGACTCTAGGGGACAGAAATAGGAAGTTCCAGGAAGTCCTTTCTAATCATTAGAGCTGTTCAGAGGCAGCCGCAGCAGCGGGGCGGGGCGCTGAGCTGTGTCAGGCGTGTAGGCTGCAGGGTGGAGATGGCCCTGGCTGGGGGACTGGACTAGTCCGGAGGCTCTCAAGCCTGGCTGAGCGGGAAAGTCAGAAACACCTGAGGATCCTTCCAAATACAGTTTCCCAGGCCCTAACCAGGCCGGCTGAATCAGGATCTCTACGGGTGGGGCGGGAAATGCATCTTTAAAGGCTCCCCTGTGATTCTCGTAATAAGGGGGTGGGTTTGGAGGCGGGGCCGGAGGATCTCTCCATGGACCACCACCTCAGCGGACCTTTTCCTCTCCTCTGTCCTCACCTCTCCAGTCTGGCTTCTTTTGGCCAGCCACAGGTTGCTGAGGTTCTTGGAGGAGGGAAGCCCGAGCGGGCGGGGCCTGCCTCCCATCAGGACGGGCAGCTCTTTCCCAGCACGCCCTAAAACCCCAGGGCACGGCCCCTCCTGCAGCTGGGCACTTCTCCTGCCACGTGCATTCTCCCGAGGACGCCCGGACGCCTTGCTCGGGGATCCCAGAAATGAGACAGGAAATGCCTGAAAGGACATAAACACCCTTGTTCATCCTCTTCCTTTGGGTCAATTCCACGGTTCGGTACACTCTAGGGCTCTATTAGCGCGCACGTCCTCGAAGGGAAAAGCCACCATCCGCGATAGCCGCGTGCGCCCGCGCGCAGGAGATAAGGGTTCTCACGGCCCACGGGGAAAGGCGGGGAGCGTGGGAATCGCGGAAAGGGAGGGCGGGCCCGCCTTTTGCCCTGACCGCACAGCACCCCCTGGTGTCTCCTGTCGCAGCGCAAGAGCCGCGCCTGCGCAAGCCGGGCCCCCTCCCTGCCGGAGCCGCCTCCCCCCCGCA